GCGACACCGGGCGCTGTGGCAGGACATGAGCCAGCCGCTCTGCCACTACTTCATCTCCTCCTCCCACAACACCTACCTGATAGAGGACCAGATCCGAGGCCAGAGCAGCATTGAGGGCTACATCAGGTAAAGGGGCTGCTCCCTCCCAGCTGTCCCCCTGCGCCCTCCTGACCCACTGCCGTGCCCTGGGCAGCTCCATGGGGCAAACCCAAAAGCTCCTTTGCCTCCTCCATGGCCCAGCACCCCTGTGGCCATGCCATGTGGTGCTCAGCAAGGGGGGTGATGCTGAACCCGACTCTACCTGCCCTGGATGCAGCAGCATCTGCACCCTCGGTGGTTGTCCCCTGGTCCCCTGCAGGGGTGATGCTCACAGGCAGAGGGGAGGGCAGGGGGCTGGTTCCCTGTCCAGGTGCGGGGTCCCAGCGGTGACAGCGCACCCCTAGGGCTCTGAAACGGGGCTGCCGGTGCCTGGAGGTGGATTGCTGGGACGGGCCGAACGGGGAGCCCATGGTGTACCACGGCCACACCTTCACCTCCAAGATCCCCTTCCGGGAAGTGGTGAGCACCCTGGAGAAGTACGCCTTCAAGGTAGGGCACCCTGCCCTGGGCATTGGGTGTCATGGGTAGCCCTCCACAGGCGAGGAGGGGGAACATGACTGCAATGTGGGGCAGTGGTGTGTCAGTGATGTGTCTCTGGAGGGGGAGCAGTGCTGGGGCTCACATGCCTGGTGCTGCAGCAGGTCTGATCCCATCATGGGTCAGGAGGGTGGCTGTGTCCCTTCCCAAGGGACAGCACTGGGGGGTCTGACCCATAGCTCTGTGCCATGCCAGGGGCTCATTCAGGCACAGTCTGCTGCAGGGGGCGCAGGGGTAACAACGGGGCCTGGAGGATGCTGAGGGGTGCAGGGGTGAGGTGGGACATGGGGAATGCTGAAGGGGTGTGAAGGTCTCAGGGGGGTATAAGGGTGCACAATGGGCTTCTTTCTGGCACTGACCACGCGTGGGCAAAGCCCTTGTGAGAGCTCCCCAACTCCGCCAAGGCTGATCTCCAGCTCTGTGCGTTGCTCCCCAGACCTCAGACTACCCAGTGATCCTGTCCCTGGAGAACCACTGCAGCATGGAGCAGCAGGAGGTCCTGGCCCAGCAGCTCAAGGACATCCTGGGGGAACAGCTCCTCACCACCACCATTGATGGGCACATCCCCACCCAGCTCCCGTCCCCAGAGGTAGGGGCAGAGCGTGGCCATGCAAGGCAACACTGTCCTGCCTGGGAGTGGGGTGAGAAGGTGGCTCTGCTGTCCAGAGGAAAGGCCACCCCCGCCCCAGCATTGTCCTGCTCTGCTGGAGCGCTTGGGAGCCCTGGGGATAGTGTGTCTTCATGTTCACAGGGGTCCCAAAGCTGCCCCCAAAGTTGTCTCCCTGTGCCCTGCAGAGCCCCTCCTACCCCATCCCCTCCAGGGTGTTGAAGGAAGCTGGTGGTGCTGACCTCCAGCAGTGCAAGGTCCTGGGTATAGCAATTTCCATGGAGGAGAAGAGCACCACAAGGTGCCTCCCTCTCTATGCCCAACCCGGCAGGAGCTGAAGCACAAGATCCGGCTGAAGGGCAAGAAGATCGGGCGGCTGGAGGACACACTGGACGGGCCGGCGGATGAGGCACCTGATGTGTCTGATGATGACAACGGGGCAGAGGCAGAGGAGGAGAGGCGGAGGGCAAAGGTGGGTGGCCCAGGCTGGGGTCTGGTCAGGTCTGCTATGTCCCCACACACAGCAATGGGCTGTGGTGACATCCCAGTGCTGAGAGGAGAGGCAGAGACTGCAGGGACATCACCAGGCAGGGAGGGACAGTCCTTTTTGTCCCTGGTCGTGCCAGCCCCCTCTTCACACAACATCCCTGTGAAGGCACCATGTTGGGGGTCTCCTGCTTGCTGCATTCCTGAAAGGAAGGCTGCCCATGGTGCGGCTGGGATGTTGAGATTCTGAAGTGTGTTCAGATAAGAGCCACAAGGATGGTGAGGGGTCTGGAGAACAAGCCTTATGAGGAGCGGCTGAGGGAACTGGGCTTGTTTAGCCTGGAGAAGAGAAGGCTGAGGGGAGACCTCATCACCACCTACAACTGCCTCAAGGGAGGTTGTAGAGAGGTGGGTGCTGGTCTCTTCTCCCAGGTGATGGGGGATAGAACAAGGGGAAACGGCACCAAGCTGTGCCAAGGGAGGTTCAGGTTAGAGATAAGGAGGAAGTTCTTTACTGAGAGGGTCGTCAGAAGCTGGAACAGGCTGCCCAGGGAGGTGGTGGAGTCACCATCCCTGGATGTGTTTAAAGAGCGGGTAGATGAGGTACTTAGGGATATGGTTTAGTGGGTAAACAGGAACGGTTGGACGTGATGATCTCAGAGGTCTTTTCCAACGAGCGATTCTGTGTGTGTGTTCTGTGCGTGTGGATGCTGCCACCCCCAGCACACCACTGACTGCCCTTGGCTGCCCTGGGCTCTACAGCCCCTGTCCTGGGTGACAGCGCTCCCATCAGGAACTCAATGCAGCCCTGCCTTGCAGAAGGACAAGGAGAGCCTGGCACAGACATTATCTGACTGCGTCATCTACTGCAAAAATGTGTCCTTCCGGGGCTTCCAGGAGGCCCGCAGCCATTCCCGGCCCTCCGAGATCTCCTCCCTCGCCGAGGCCAAGGCCAGGAAGCTCATCCGGGACACGGGTGAGGCAGAGGGGATGGTGGCACCAGGCAGCACATGCAGTGGGTGACTGTGCAGGCCAGGGAATGACCCCACAAGCGGCTCTCGTACTCCATCCCTAGGGAATGAGTTTGTCCGCCACAACGCCTGGCAGCTGACGCGCATCTACCCCAGTGGGATGCGGACCGACTCCTCCAACTACAACCCCCAGGAGATGTGGAATGTGGGATGCCAGCTCGGTACGGCCAGGGCCATCAGGGCTGTGGGCTGGGGAGATGTCCTGGGTCCTGTGACAAATGGCACCATTAACACTTGTGTTAGTGCCACGTCAGCTGGAGCCAGGCCTGGCTGCAAGCACTTGCTCTGCCCTCAGGAGCCTGGGCCGGGGCTGGGCATTGGTGTCTTGTGCCCCTGTGCAGCCCCACATCTCTCTGGCCCATGGGGACAGGGTGGTTCTCAGCTCCAAGCAGGTAATAGTGTTTCCAAGCTGCCCTAAATCCTTTCCTTGCCACCTTCCCTCAGTGGCCCTGAACTTCCAGACGGCTGGCACAGAGATGGACCTGTGTGATGGCCTCTTCAGCCAGAACGGCCGCTGCGGCTATGTGCTCAAACCGCCTTTCATGAGAGATGAGGAGACCCTCTTCAACCCCAGTGATCCCAGCAGCCGGGAGGGCCCTGGCCCTGTCACCCTGACAATCCAGGTATGGGGCCAAGGAGCGACCCCCAGGGGCTGTGACAGCATCCTGGGGCCCTGCCAGTCCCAGCACAGACACCGTTGGGCAGCGTGCTGGAGCCGAGCGGTCTCCCAGATCAGTTCGGCAGCTCCTTGGCTCACAGGGTCCCTGCCCCTTCTCACAGGTGATCAGCGGGCAGCAGCTGCCCAAAGTAGCCAACAGCAAGGACGGAGCTGTCATCGACCCACTGGTGCGCGTGGAAATCCACGGGGTGCCCACAGACCAGGCACACCAGGAGACCAAGTACATAGAGAACAACGGTGAGCCCTGCAGTATCAGGGATCCCACTGCACCCCGGCAGCCCCATCCCTCTCGTGCCTTCCCAGCACCCGCTCTCCCTTCCCAGGGTTTAACCCCCACTGGGATGAGACGCTCCAGTTCCAGCTCCACGTGCCTGAGCTGGCCCTTGTCCGCTTCGTGGTGGAGGATTACGACAAGACCTCCAGGAACGACTTTGTGGGCCAGTTCACCCTGGCCTTTGCCAACATCAAACCTGGTGAGTGATCGCTGCCCAGCGGTGGTGGGGGCCAGGGCAGCCCCTCCAGGGATGTCTGGGCTCAGCTGGGTGCCAGAGAGTGGGGTGGCAGCAGGCATCGGTCACAGCCTCACGGTTCCCGCTCCAGGGTACCGCCACATCCATCTCCTCTCCAAGGACGGCACCAGCATCCCACCCTCTTCGCTCTTCGTCCACATCCGCATCACTGAGCCACTCAGCCCTGAGCAGGACTGAGCCTGTGGCGCAAGCAAGACCCGGATGGAAGCCATAGAACCAGCCCCAGGCAGCTGGGGCCACAGAGCCAACCACATCTCCTTCTTGTTGAGCTGTTTGTGTTGTCCCTGTGTCATAGTCACTGCTGTGCCCTCCTTTGCAGTAGCCTCTGAGGACTAGGAAAAGGCACTGACCCCTCCTTCCCAGGTTCAGGATGCTGCCTCCCAGTTTGGGGTTTGTGCTGGTGCAACCCCCTGCACCCTCCAAGTGCATCCTGCCCAGGCACAGCTTGGGCACAGGGAGGAGGAGAGATGGTGCACAGTACCCTGGCTCTGTAGCAGGGGCTGGTCCCCCCCGGCCAGGGGAGCAAGGCTGGAGCTGAGCCAACCCCAGGGCTGGGCAGAGCTGGGAGAGGAATTGGTCCTCACTGCCCCCTGACCCTGCAGAGCCCCATCACAGCTCCTGATCCCTGCAGCTCCTCCTAACCCTTGCCCTTGTCCTTTCTCTGTAATCAACCTAATAAATTGTTCGGTGATAGATTCAGGTCTGGGTGCAGTGGTGCTGGGGAGAGGTGGGGAGCTGGGCTTGTCCTCGTGCTCTTTCTCTGTGGGCACCTTGCCCACTGCTCACACAGGGCTCCAAACAGCCCCAAGAAACAGGATTAAAAGGAGCCAAGAGATTCCTTTTATACGGCTGCATATTTTACAATCCATATACATATATGCCTATAAACACACATACATCTTTCACAGCAGGCCTGCACCACCGGGGCCTTAAAGCAGTCAGGATTCGGCCTCACTGTGAAGTGCCATTGTTCTCTGTGGGGCACCCTCCTTCCTGCTCCGTCCTGGGGACACCCTCGCCGTGGCTGTCCCTCTGCACGGCGTGAAGGTGGACAGTGGGCGTGCTGGGGTCCTTGCCCACCCCCTGGCTGGGGTCGCTGGTCCCCCGCTCGGGGTGATGCCGCTGGATGTGTTTGATGACCTGGAACTTCTGCTTGGCCTTGTAGGGGCAGTAGCGGCAGAAGAAAGGGTGCTCGTTGGTGTGGGTCAGGTAATGGTGGCGCAGGCCGGCCGCCCAGCGGAAAGCCCGCCCACAGGCGTTGCAGACGTAGGGCTTCTCCTCGCTGTGCTTCTTCAGGTGGGTCTTGAGGAGGAAGCGGGTCTTGAAGGCTTTGCCACACTGCTCGCAGATGAAGGAGCGGGCCTCCCGATGCCGCGTCTCCTTGTGCACCCGCAGGGCGTCTGCCCGGTTGGTGCGGTACTCGCACTCATCGCAGCAGTACGGCTTCAGGCCTGTGGCGACAGGGAAAGGGATGGTGCAGGGATAAGAGAGCAGCAGTTCCCAGGGACTCAACCTCCACACCCCGTCGTGTCAGCAGGCACCCCAAGACGCACCATTTCCAAGGCACCTGGGAGTCTGTACTGCCCCATCCTCCCTCCCACCCCAGGGGCACTGTCCCGAGCCCACCAGCACACGAGAAAATGCTGCCCCAAATTGCTGCGGGTCGTCCCTCGTCTCCAGCTGGGCCAGTGGTAGCAAAGGAAACATGGAGCTGGGGTTCTCGTAGCCCCAACACCGTCCCTGGTGCCCCATGGCCCATCCCCAGCAGGCAGCGCTCACCTGTATGCTTTGTCATGTGGTACTTGAGCTGGTTCACCCACTTGCACTTGTAGCCACAGTCTGGGCAGAGGTATTTTCGCTCCTCCTTGTGGATCCGCATGTGGTACTGAGCACAGAGCAAGAGGGCAGGGTCAGGATGAGACCACGTCCCCTACCCTGTGAACACACAGGGCTCTGGGGTACCAGCAAGGAGCTCAAAGACAGCTCTGCCACCGCAAACTGCATGGGGCAAGGAGGGCTGTCTGCTTGTCTGGCAGAGGATGGGCAGGGGGGATCCACAGCAGGGTCAGGACAAGACCCCTGCACTGCTGAGCAGTTTGGTATTTAGGGTAAAGTCTGGGTTAAAACCCCACCCAAGAGAGCTAGCCCTGAGCAAGTCGCACAGCCTCACCCACGCAGACCCAGCTCAGCCTGGTCATTAAAAAACTCACTATTTCTTTTAGCAAAGCCAGACCATTTTCCCCTGTATTACCCTGTGCCTGGCCCTCCTGGTATTGGAAAGGCTCTTTACCATGCACGGGGATGCATGTCACCTACAGAAGTGAGGGCAGGGTCTGGCTTTGCTTGCAGGGAAGCTGAGCTTTCCCTGCACCATGTCAACTGGTGCCACAGAGCAGGCAGCCAGACTTGGCTTCAAGCGGTGCAAGGCTGCACCCCGAGGACACCAGAGATGTCAGCAGGAAGAGGAGTGAACTCAGAACAGCTGCCCACCTTCTTGCTTTGCTACAAACACCCCTTCCCCTTAATCTGCAACAGCAGGAAGCAGGGCAGAAACGTACTGTACCCACACGAGTTTTATCTGCTTGCCTCCTATTCCTGAATGAGTCACAGAAGAGAACAGAGGACAAAACCTCCCAAGTTTCTTCTTCTTCCCCGAATACCCGTGTCTGGATCCCCGCCAACCCACGTAGACGCAGAACACATCCCCGAGCGGGGCTCTCACCTTGAGACGCGAGGGGTCGGCGCAGGCGTATTTACAGAGGTGACACTTGTAAGGCTTCTCGCCAGTGTGGATGCGGATGTGCCACGTGATCTTCTGCCTGTTCTTCGTGGTGTACTCGCAGTCCGAGCACTTGTACACGCGGGTGCCCCCGTGGCCCTTCACGTGTTGGTCGAAGACGAGCTGGTGGCAGCAGGCAAAGTCGCAGAAGGGGCACCGCAGGGTTTTGTCCTGGGGGGCGGCCGGCTCGTGGGTCTCCACGTAATGCCGCACCAGCTGCTGCCGCTCCTTGGCCGCAAAGCTGCACAGCTCGCAGCGGTGGCTGAAATGCCGCGTCTTGTGCTCCTCCAGAGCCTCCCGGGTGGCGAAGGTCTCCTTGCAGGTGCCGCACTCCAGGTGCGGGTGCTGCTTCCGCACGGG